ATTATTTGCCATCCGTGTATCTTCTTTAGTAAGCCTGCTTTAATAAAGAACCACTGTCACTGGATTATTGTTTCCAGGGCATTTATTTTAGTGGACAGAGCTGGGAAATAGATAACACACATAGGCACACACACATAAGTATTATAAGATAAAATATGAGTTCATTCAATATTTCCAATTCAAATTTAGGATACAGGAATTGTCTAAACTTTCATACAGTTGTCTCTTCCTTTCTTGCATTCTCCTAGTTCTCAGTGACATCTCACTATTACTCATTGCTACACATGCAGCAGCCACAAATAACGTTACCAACACTACCTTCAGTATCACAGTTACTGAGAAGTTATGCAGAGGGATGTGAGTAATCAAATTAGTCTTTTACAATCATTTAAATAGTTTCTCTTCAAGGTTATGTCACCATCTTGATAAGCATTTAGATGAATTTGAGTCATTTTACTTTCCAATTTTAGAGAGATTGAATTTTAATTTAAATGTCTTATAGTTATGTAAAATATTTACATGTTTCCAAACTGAATAACATGGTATTTTCAACTAGCTTCTGTCTATTCTACTAACGTTAATAAAGCAAATGTATTTCACAGGGCCTAGCTTCTAAAGCCCTATAATTTCAGATACAGCCTAACTCTTAAAAATTACACATAGGAATGTTCAGCTTGCAAAAGACAGGAAACTTTCCCCAGGCGAAAGTCTCTGTTGTAGATAAAGAATTGTCACACAGCAAAATTGCTGGCTCAAAGGGCAGATGTCCTTGGTGCAGGTTAACCTACTGATTAATATGTTGAGAAAGTTGCTTGATTGTTATGTAAACATACTGAGGAAATTGTTGTAGGAAAAGAGTTTGCTAAGAACAAGCTTTTGTTGGTGGATCACTTAACCTTTTGCAGATTGCATTATGGAATGTCACTTTGTTTATTTCACTGATGTTACTAGTTTCCATTGTTAAAACTATACTTAGCCATAACTCTGCCCATGTCCTTGTGTTCTTTGTAATGATTAAATCAACTGACTTTTCTTGTGAAACTTCCTTGTCTTTACAATAAACGGGAAAAGCTAACTTTGAATCAGGGCTGTCACATTCAGCTTTCTCCACCTGATGGGGAAATTACTGAAGTGCAGCCCTTCCAGGCCTCTCAATGCATTCATACTGCTTTGAGTAATCGAGTGATTCTTTTTTACGTCTCTGTTACACAGGGGGATGTGTAACATTCTATCCGTGTTTTTTTTTTTTTTTTTTTTTTTAAAGGATGA